AGAGACAGCAGAGTGACTCGTCAGGTTTCATCCAGCACCGTAACACTCACCTCCTCCACGCCTGCACCTCTGTCTCGATAGAGGACAGCAGGTCGGACAGCAGTCTCTGGTGCATGTGGGACCACTGCAGCTCCAGGACGCCTGTGGATCCACCTTCAGAACTTCGACTGGCTTCCTCCTCGTGACCCAAGGCGGAGTCCTGGGATAAACAGAGAGTGGGGGTCACCAGTAGGAATGAGGTGGGGTCCGGCATGACATCCCAGAGCACGGAGAGCCACTCACCGCCGAGGCCAGGCCCTTCAGTCTCCCTGAGTCGGAGGCCACGCGGGACACCTCCAACCTGGTCACTCGGCCTGCCCAAGGTGTCCCCAAACTCCGCCTCTGTTCTTCGGCTGAAGTGACATCATCCCCATCTCCCTCCTCTGGACTTTCATGGCTGACCTTGGTCTGAGCAGAGATGCTCCCCAAGTCTTCAGTTTCAGTTCCGTTATTCTGGGTGACACCTGCTCGCTCGATATCTGTAATCAACTCAGCATCTGCAGGCACGGCCGGCTTTCCCTGAAGTCCTTCTCCACAATGGGAGACATCTGATGAGGACAGCCCAGGACCCAGAGCCCCTGCATTGACCAGTGGGCGCTGCTCTATAGCCTTATCAATAGGCTTCAGATCTGGGGTCTTGGCCGCATTGAGTGGCTCTGCCTGCATGGTGCCAGATGGGCCAGAATCTGCTGGGGCCCCATTAGAGGGGATGCGGCCCTCAGAGATGGTGCTGGTCTCACTGGGTCCGTGTTCGGCCCCCACCGTCCTCTGGCACTCGTGGAACGTGATGTCTGGCTTCTCAGAAGCTACCTGGATAGGTAAGAGAGAAACAAGGCAGGAGTGATGATACACAGTGACTCATACACTTACAGATGTCAGCATGTAAACATTTACCTCCGCTGATGCGATCAACCACATGCCTCTAACAGCAGGAAAGGTTAGACGTCAAAAAAATAAGGCCTAGAAACTCAGAAGGTGACATTGACGCACACCGAGTGTGAACAGGAAGCCAGTGGCGGGGACACCCTCATGGGCGGCCAGCTGATGGGGAACGACGTGCAGGAAGACGGGAGAAAGAGCGTCAGTGTGGAATTAACGCTAATCATCCTCAAAAGCCATCAGTCTGTCTGTGGCGGTCCCGTCCAAACAGAAGCCCTTTAGACATGGCGGTAGAAAATACCATTTTTAGTAGGACCCATATTTCCTGCTGACAAGGGAACATCTGAATTTACCAAGGAGGAAACTCAACACTACAGGCTAGGCGCTTGTTGCTGGACTGCAGCACCAGGAAGTCTGCACAGCACCGGAAAAACAGGACTGTGGCAGCCGGGGTCTCTGTCCCCATGTCACCAGAGTCTCTGAGCAAGGCCTGTTCTGGATGAACACACAGATAAGCGCTGAGGGGCATTTTACCAGTGGCCAGACCCCCCCAGTAAACATGCGGGACAGCACACCTCCACACGGCAGCGGTATGAGAGGTATAACTGCAGAAACACGCCACCTGTTACAATTACCCCAAAAGGCAGGGGGCGCTCTGCCTCAGCCAGCAAACATGCACCTCTGCAGCTGTCAGATAACACTTTCCGAATGGTCCTAGTGACCCAGTGGTGACAAACAGCACCGAGGAAATAGTAAGACAACAATGGCGGTCCGGGCCACAGGAACGGTGCGAGCGCCTCACGCGGGCTGCGACCTAACTCATGCAGGGACGACGTGAGCGCCCCATGCGGGCTGCGACCTAACCCATGCAGGGACGACGTGAGCGCCTCACGCGGGCTGCGACCTAACCCATGCAGGGACGACGTGAGCGCCTCACGCGGGCTGCGACCTAACCCATGCAGGGACG